TTGTTCCTAAGCAACCTTTTGATCTCAACTTTGATATTGGACATGATTTCAGGTGTGAACCTTTATGGGGTCTGCTTCACTAGCTTCTGGTCAGGTATGATCGACAATTTCAGCTTGACTAGATCGTGACTGAGTTTAGGCATTTCATCATAGTCCCAGGTGAAGTAATCTCTGAACTCTTTTAACACCTTGATTCTTCTACTTTTAAGTGTGGGGTGAATTTGGAACTAATGTACATCAATATTTTCCTCGTCCCATCTCCCAAGTCTATCTCTTCCAAAGGATCGCGTGCCTGCATTTTCTTGGTCGAGATTGTTAGGTCTTTCTCGAACCCCAAAGGCTCATCATCATAAATGCAATCTAACCTTCGACTTTCTGAAACTGTTATTTTGCTGGTAAAGCCAAATTGATTTGCCCAAGAGTTCTCAGGATTAATGTCTTCGACAACACATATTTGTTGAGATTTAATCTCTAAGTCCGCTAATATTTTGTTTTCAGCCACATAGAATGAAATCCGAGCCAATGCTTTTAACTCGATCATGATCTTCATCGGGTTCAGACCATCGGTTATACCCTCCGATAGTTTTATATTCTCAAGTAAACCTGTATCGAGGGTGTAGGTTCATCGTGTAGTATACTCACACCCTTCAAAGTTATATCATCCTCCAACAAGTTTACATGGAGAAATATTAGCCAATTTTCGGTCAAAGTTAAGCATGTCGGTGTGATTGACATCTGCTCTGAAAAAACACTAATCTGCTTTGATGGTTTCGACAATTCTATCAGGCTTCCTGATGGTGTTCATCTAATGCATAGACGAGGGTACACATCCTACTCAATGCAACCATTATCTACCTAATAGCATATTGTAGTTTGCTTTAGTTGGCACCACCACAAACAATGTTGGTCTTGTGGTAGTCCCTACACTACATTGACTTGAATAACCCCTAAGAGTTTGCTAGTTTTTCCCTCACAATTGGACAATACCATGTTGTTACAGGCTAAATCTATGGTAAATTTCCTATTTTTTCCAAGAGGGACTGGCGCATAACATTGACATATGTCTCACAGTCGATCAAAACTTTGTTGATCCCTATTCCATTTACCTTGGCCCTTATATAAAAAGGCTTCAGGCTTTGTTGCATGGCCATGTCTGGCATTTCAAAAATGGCACGATCTTCATTCATTGAGTTGTCATTTATTACATAATAGCATAAAAGTTTGTGAGTAGCTAGTTCTTCATCAATATCTTCTTCCTCAATCACTTTTGTTTATATATCCATTTTTTTTTATAGTTTTTAATATTATTTACATTTTAAATGAAATATTTCTTTTTAAATTCTTTCCATTTTATTTGTTAGGATTCAATTTTAAAAATTGGAACAAAGTCTCCAAATTGTATGAGACAATATTGTCTTTGATGTAAAGTTTAAATAATATTTATTTTCATAATTAAATATTTAAAAAATTATTATGTGACCAAAGTTTAAAATTAATTGTTCAGTTTTTTTATTAGGAGTCCATTTTTCTTACTAGCTACAGACTTTTAGAAAGTCAGGACCGACTCTATCTACTCATTGGTTGCCCACTAAGAAGTTAGGTTTGGTGTACTTTTGCCAGGATATTACCATGACCTTGACATTGAGGAAAACCATCTTCCTTTAAAAAGCAATTAAGTATTGATAAATCAAGGTAACTGTTCTGGCCTGGGCCCCGGGCTGACCACACGGGCCCAACCCAATATTGTCCCACCGAGCCCAGACCAGCCTGGGTACAGTGTCGGGCGTCGGGTCCCTGACCTGCACCGACCACGTCGGGCAGGGAGCTCCCATCGTGACCAAACACCGCCCTCCGCGGGAGAGACCCGCCCTCCGCGGGCAGAACCTGCTCCATCGCCGGGCAGGACAATGTGTCCTTCACACGTTCTCCACGTGCTCCCCTCCACGGGGACACGTCACCAACCAACTGCCCACCTCCGAAAAAGCAGGTCAAACCCACTTTCTGGAGATCTCGGGGCAGTTGGACTAGGGCGAAGACCACGTCCTGGTCTTCACTACGCCACGTAAGCCCTAGCAGTCACCTGGATTGGGCCTGGCTATCCAGCCCAACACAAGTGATCGTTGGCCCAGCACTGGGGTCTCTCTATAAATACCCTCTTCCACAAGAGGGTCAGGTAACACACTTCTTACCCATTTTATGTACTTTGCTCTCACTCTGCCCAATTCTTTACTTTGGCATCAGAGTGTCTTGCAGGTACACCCCTCTTCTCCTCCTCATCACCGGTGAACAGGTAGCATCCCAACAGAGTGTGGTCAGCCCGTGATCCCCTTCTGATCAGGTCAGATCAGTGGCGCCGTCTGTGGGAACAGAAACTTTCCCGTTACTCCGAGTAGAGAACCAAAGTTTCACCAACACTCCACGATCATGGCTAGCCCACACTGCGACGATACCGTGCACGACTTCATGCTCAACGCTGCCGCAAATGGCGGCAAGCAAACGGAGACGTCACGCCCAACGGAGACCGACGAGAGAGACGACCAGACTGCATCTCCGTCGTCCGCAGAACCGACACACCAGGCCGTACACCGGCCCCAAATCCCAGCAGCGTTCCAACCTGTTCCCGTCCCGGCTGGAGCGGACCCAACAGTGTCCGCCCTCTTCGTGGCCATCAACCAGACGAACCAACTATTGTTTCAACAGAACATGCGTATTAGAGCGCTAGAACGCGATGCCCCGTTGAGGTCCTCCCCACGGGAAGACCAGAACGGTAACTCGAGGAGTCCCTCGCCTCAACCCAGACATCGAAGACCTTGGCTGGAGAGGCCCCAACCCAAAGCAGTATGGGAGCGGACAAGGTCCCCAACAAGACAAGTTCGTCAGAGACGACAAGCCAGAGCAGTGGCCCTGCCGACAGATTCACGGAATACACGGCCCTAGTCGCTTCCCGCGAGCGCATACTGGCCGAATGCGCCAGGACCAGATTTATTCAAGGAGGTGTCCGCTTCCCCAGGCCGACACCCCCCCAAGCCCAACGTGGACAAATCAAAGTACTGTCGTTTCCGTAGGAGCCACGGGCACGTGACGGAAGACTGCATCCATCTCAAGGACGCGATGGAAATCCTGATTAAGGACAGCCACTTGAAGAGATACGCCCGGGGGGGAGAGACCCCGAGGCAAGAAGCTCCCGAGGCCAAGAAAGTCGAAGAGCTCCCCTCTTAGGACGGCGATAACGGACTCCAGATCGCCCTATGTGTCAGCCGCCTCGAGGATTGGTTCACTGATAGAAAGTTCAGCCTCCCCGACGACCCTAACCTACACGACGAACCAGTACGACCCACCAGCCGATGGGAATACTTCCCAAGAGCCATGGTCATCTCTGGCGGCTCTACAAGGAACCTATCCATAGGATCGGTGAAAAGAAAGTTCGAAGAACTTATCACGAGCAACTCCGGGAAGATGAGCACGCTCAAAAAATTTCGCGGCCGATCCAACCCGATCACCTTCTACCTCGAGGAACTCCCCGTGGGCTCCCCCAATTCCAACATTCCCCTGCTGATCAGAAGGGGATCACGGGCTGGCCACACTCTGTTGGGCTGCTACCTGTTCACCAGTGATGAGGAGGAGAAGAGGGGTGTACCTGCAAGACACTCCGATGCCAAAGTAAGGAATTGGGAAGAGTGAGAGCAAAGTACAAAAAAGGGGTAAGAAGTGTGTTCCATGACCCTCTTGTGGAAGAGGGTATTTATAGAGAGACCCCAGCGCTGGGCCAACGGTCACTTGTGTTGGGCTGGATAGCCAGGCCCAATCTAGGTGACTGCTAGGGCTTACGTGGCATAGCGAAGACGAGGACGTGGTCTTCGCCCTAGTCCAACTGCCCCAAGATCTCTAGAAAGTGGGTTTGACCTGCTCTTTCGGAGGTGGGCAGTTGGTTGGTGACGTGTCCCCGTGGAGGGGAGCACGTGGAGAACGTGTGAAGGACACGTTGTCTTGCCCGGCGATGGAGCAGGTTCTGCCCGCGGAGGGCGGTGTTTGGTCGCGATGGGAGCTCCCTGCCCGACGTGGTTGGTGCAGGACCTTCTCATGGGGAGACCGTCTCTGCTCGTCGGGGACCCGACGCCCGACGCTGTACCCAGGCTGGTCTGGGCTCGGTGGGACAATATTGGGCTGGGCCCGTGTGGTCAGCCCTGGGCCCAGGCCAGAACAGAATTATTTTCACGAAAAATAAATAATTATAAAAATAATTAATAAAATAATTGATATTATGAATATTGTTAAAAACAATTATTTACTTTTTTGAAATTTTTATATAAACTAAGTCAGAGAAGAAAATAAATATTATCATTAATTAAAAAAAGTATTACATAAACTAATGTTGGCGACCAAATTGGTCATACCGGCCACCAGTTCCACATCCCCTAGGCACCCTAACTCGTTGCGCTCGTCCCCTTTGTTGTTGATTCACGCCAGGTGTTTGAGGAGTTGAAGTCTCAGGAACATTCCCAAATGGTTCCCGAAGGATTTCTTGCATTTCCATTAGGTCCCGTGTGTTGAAACTGAGCGTGCGACCCATACCAGAGTAGTTCGATGTAATGAAGGGGTCATTAGTGTGTGGCCTGGACGGTTGAATGGGGACATTGGTGTGAAGGATTCGTTGTGAAAGGTTGAAATGGTAGTGGTGTTTGAAAGCCATAAGATTGTTGAGATGGTTGGCCGAGTAGGCCAGGGTGTGATGTCAGAGTGTTTTGGCTATGGAAAGATGTTTGGGCGTTATGGCTATGGTATGATGTACCCTCGTTATGGAAATATCTTGATGTTGTGTTTAGGCCATAGCCATATTGGGTTTCTGGGTAGTAGTCAGTGTGTGAGAGATGGTATGAGGGACGCTCTTGGTATTGTGGTTGGGTGTTTGGCATGTTTGGATGGTGAATGGGTTGGTAACTCTGTTGGGTAGAGGGTTGTGAGTAACATAGCCTTTATGGTGGGTTAGACGTTGAAGCCTCTTATCTGTAGGTGGTTTGGTGTGGGTCGTATAAATACCTGTCTTCGGAGACAAACCCAGTTGCAACCGATCTGTACCAAGCCATATAATTAATAGTTGGTATAGACGGGGTTGCCATCACCTTGTCAAGTAAGACATGGGTGTTGCGGTTCATCCATTTACGATGCTCAGATTTTGCAAAATCCTTCCAGTCGGGAAACTCCCATTGATCATTAACTCTTTTTAGATGCCATTTACTGATGTCAATAGAAGGATCTGGGATGTTTTGATGCATTCCAAATTGTAGTTTGACACGGTAACTGTTGTGCATCTCCACAGTTGTGAATCTGATGATCGAGACGCATGCAGTCCAAACAGTAGCATCTTCCTCTCTGACTTCATGTAGGTGTTCCGTGTTTAGATATGGACACCGTATGAACTGAAGAAAGAAAAATATTAGATCAAAAAATAGTTGATATAAAATACAAATTGATGTAGTTTAAAGGCCTTACATTTGCAGGTGTTAGGTGGTCCAACAGATTGCAGTATTGAATGATACAATGTCTAGGGCATCTATTGTAAGTCATACCCTTAGCCGACAATCTAAACCAAAAACAGTTCAAATTTAATTAGTTAGAAACAATAGTTATTAAGGTGAAATAAACAAAGATTAAGTTAGTAACTTACTTTTGTGCGTACAACAAGGAAAAATCGTTGTGGTTGACGGGTGTTGGGGTTGGAAATCTAGACCAACCCCATGCTTGGAGCAAAACGGCGCATCCAGAAAAAGTAGATGTGTTTTTTTTTGCGCACTTACACAGAGCTGTATAAATAAGACAGGCAAGCGGAGCCCCAACTATATTATCTTGTTTTAGTTAGATCTCTAAATAAAGGTAAATACATTATGTGCATAGAAGAACCAGTGCCCTTGGGAAATAAAATTAAACGAATTAAAATCCTAAGATAACACCTAGTTTTTATTATTTTCATTTCCTACGTAGAATATTCATTTAATATAAAATCGGCGTACCATGATTTTAGGCGCGAAAGTAAGATACCTTGGCCTCTCGAGTTCTCATCTAGCAAGTCGGCACCCAAAAGTTCCTCACAAATTGAACCATTAAGGTTTGTTGTTCCATTGACCATCTTACCATCAATGCACAAACCAAGTAACATGTACACATCCTTTAAGGTCACGGTACATTCACCGGTTGGAAAAAATAAGGTGTATGTCTCTGGGCGCCATCTCTCTTGCAAAGCTAGTATAAACTTTGCATCAACCGAGTAAGACATAATTTTGCTTACATGTCTGAAACCGGGCGAGCTCAATATATGGTTGAGATAATTCGTCGGGTGCAACATATTCATGGGCACGACACCGAAACTAAGAGACTTCCTACCTAATTGTAAAAAAAAATTAAAAGAGTCATTAAAAATTATAAGAGTAAAATAAATAAATGAAAAGAGTCATTAAAAATTAACATATACAAGAAACAATGAACACTTACGTAAGTCACGATATTTGCGACAATGCCTCTATGTGTTTCACCCATAACTTATTAAATGTGAATCAGATAACTAGTATACTGACACAAATAGACTTGATATTACCTCTCTACAACAAGTAAGAATCAGATGATGCATTTTACCCATGCATGTATCATTCTTATATAGGGAATTCGTATGAACCATGAAGCCAAGGCAATTGGCAACTTCCTTTCCCATTAACAAAGGGGCGCTAGTCCAATTGGCGGCCCTTGGTAAATTCCCTAGCTGAGCATGCAGGTTGAAACTTGCTGCATGCATGCATAACATGCCATCACCCACATGGCGACAGAGACCATTAAAAGCTGAACCATGTCACCAATGCATGTGGCGACTTCATTTATTGCATTTGAATATGTCTCCAATTGATTTGGTTCCTTCATTTATTACCTTTGACTGCCTCGCCAATTAATGTGGCGCCTTAATACATGTCACAGACTCATAAATATGTTCCCATGCATACAGACATTCGTAGAAACAATTTTACTAAGTCTGTAACTAGTTCTTTTATTATGTCATTTGCACCGAGGTATATTGTTAACACCCACTACAACGGAAATACATATGTATTTGATGTATCTGGGTTTGGTTTTCAAAACATTGATATTGTCCGATTTACAATCAATATAAACACAAGTTTCTTGCATTTCAAAGAAAGATTGGAATCGAAATTAGGGCTTGGTCCTGTATCACAAATAATATTTCAAAACCCAGTTTATTTTGAAACCGACCATGTTAAATTTTATCCATTTAAAGTGCGAGACGACGAAGATGTAAAAAATATGTTCCTAAGTCACGAACATTCTGGTTTCAACTACATTGAGTTGTATACATTCTTCCAACAAAATATCCCTTCTCAACAGTCTTAGATCATCGATCAATAAACAATTGTAGACTCAAATGAAACAGAACCGAAGGTCAACGTCGTTGATGAAGAAGAAGAAGGAAGTGAGACGCTGGTAGATCAACTGTTGAACGACAATGTTGAAGATGACGAACAAGTGCCACTACCTCTAGGTCAAGCATATTGTCCGCCTCAACATATGATAGACTTGGACTTGCAAGATGATGAGAGATCCGCAAATATGTTTCACAACTCGTATATACGGTCAAAGAATGAATTAAACGTTGGAGAGCAGTTTCATACCAAGGAGGATTGTGTACGAGCCATTAAAAAATATCACATGGATAACTCTTTTGATTTAAACGTACAACAAACTGATTCGATAAGGTATGTCATTATTTGTCGTAATCTACTTTGCAAGTTTCAGCTTGCTACATCTTACAGCAAGAGAAGCGATTCTTCGAAGATAGCTTCCATAGAGCCACCTCACAGTTGCACTGCCACAAATATTGTTCAGGATCACCGAAAGCTAAGTGCATAATTGATATGTCAAGACATTTTGCCGCTTGTTAACAAGGATCCTTCAGTCAAGGTGAGTATAATAATCTCTCATATCGTAACACGATATAGTTATACTCCATCGTACAAGAAGGCATGGATTGCAAGGACAAAGACTGTTGAATAAGTATTTGGAAACTGGGAGGATTCATACAAAGAATTACCGCAATTTTTGGTAGCACTAAAGACATACACACCGGGAACTGTTGCAATCATGCAGATAATGCCTACATGTAGGCCAAATAGAACTATTGTTGATGGAAATGTCATCTTTCACCGTCTTTTTTGGTCGTTTCAACCATGCATAAGAGATTTTGCATTCTGCAAACTTGTTATTCAAGTTGATGGAAGATGACTCTATGGAAAATACAAGGGCACCTTGTTTATGGTTGTTGCACAAGACGGTAACAATAATGTCTTTCGCATAGCCTTTGCTCTGGTTGAGGGTGAGACTGCTTCTGCTTGGAGTTTCTTCCTTAAGAATCTCAAAACACATATCGCTCCACAAGCTAATCTCTGTTTGATTTCAAACAGGCATGCTGCTATAGAGAGCGCCTATGATAACCATGACAACGGGTAGCATAATCCTCCTTCTACCCATGTATATTGCATTAGACATATTGCACAAAACTTCATGCGTGCAATCAAAGACAAGAACCTTCGCAAAAAAGTGGTGAATGCCAGGTATGCTCTAACTCAACCAACATTTCAATACTACCTTAACGAAATTAGGATGTTAAATGCAGATGCAGGAAGCTGGTTAGATAACATTCCACTCGAAAAGTGGACAAGGGACTTTGATGGTGGATGTCATTGGGGCCACATGACGACTAACCTTGTGAAATCCATGAACGGGATATTCAAAGAAATTAGAAATCTTCCAATCACCGCTTTGGTGAGATCAACCTATTATAGGTTGGCATCACTTTTCGCAACAAGAGGCAAGAGATGGAGTGCAGCGTTAACGTCCGATCAAGTATTCAGTGAAAGCATTATGAAATTGATGAAAGAGGACATTATCAGAGCCAACACACATGTAGGTAGAGTCTTCGACCGTCATAGGCAAATATTCAGTGTACAAAAAACAATAGACCATAATGAGGGGAGGCCCAATTTATCCTTTGCCATCAGACTAAACAGATGTTGGTGTGACTGTGGCAAGTACCAGGCCTTTTGTGTACCTTGCTCATATGTATTGCAGCATGCGCACATGCTCGTCATGATGCTTATAGCTATATATCTGATGTTTACAAGGCAATTAATGTTATGAACATATACAATGAAGGCTTCACAGTGCTACCAATGGAGGATTATTGGCTTCCATACCAAGGTGACATAGTTTGGCACAACGATGACATGAGAAGAAAGAAAAATGGACGCCCAAACAGCAAGCGTATAAGAACCGAAATGGATACGACTGATAAAATGATAAGATTGTGTAGTATATGTCATCAGCCCAGACACAGCCGTAAAAATTGTCCTAATGTTGAAGGCACATCTGCTTCATGAGTTAGCTTATCGTTTAATTTGTTGTAACTAAATGATTTCATATATTGATGAGTCTTTGTTACAACGGTCTTAACAACAAACAAGACTAACAACACATAACACATACTAATTTCATTAAACATAAAACATTAACTAGGTGATTATAACATTCCTAACTGATTACAACAATCAAACTAATTTCATTCGGTCCAAACATGACTTCCCTCGCATCTTTGTCGGTCTTAACACAAACTCATTCATGCAGCTGATCAAGTCTCTCGATACTATGGATTTTTTCCCATTTACCAATGTCTCATTCCAACCACCAATTCAGCTTCCTCTTAAGTTGATTGAAACTTTATATGTTCCAAAACAACATGACCATCAAAGGCTTCTCTCTCGAATATACGACTTTTCCCCATCGACGACGATACATGTTATCAGTAGAAAAAAGATATCAGATGAGATGTGGAATTAAATGATCAGAACACCTCTATTTATAGAAAAAAAATCAAAATACAAGGGATCTCCAGATGAATTGGCGACACCCTTTAATGAACATAAGCAAGTCACCAATTGGATTGGAGAATGCATGAGGTGTCTATAGTCCAATTGGCACCACCCTTATGGCCTTAACAAAGGGTCGCCAATTGGATTGGCGCCCTTGTGTAATTGCAAACCCTAACTGGGGTACTTTGGAAATATTTTTTAAATGTTGGGTATTTTGGGAATTTTTTTCCAAAAATTGGGTAAAAAATTCAGAAAAACCATTGTCCTTTTAAAACTAACTAAGTATTGATAAATTAGGGTAACTTGACCAATGTTTTTCCATTAAAAAAATGAAGTTACCTCACCAAATCATCTGAGTATATTGAAGATTTTAATTAAGATTTTCGAGAACGTAAGTTTAAGTTAGAGGGTTTGTAAAACTCCGTACAACATTACGGAAATAAGGTAACATAAAAAATATATACAAGTAAAATACATGATTGTTAAGACTGAAACTGTTTAGGGTCTCCCATAATGGCAAAACAAAAAAACGTTGAGACCTAATATAAGATAAATGTGAAACAACAAGGAAAAAGATACATGAACACTGCTTTCTAGACCATTCAAGTGAATGAAGCCGTGAAGTCTATTCTTACCATCGGTATCCATCTAACGGTCGATCGGATTACACGCTCACACGTACATTCAATTGCTAACCATCTCTTCTATTCAAAGAGATGATCATGTCATTTCTTAAGTGTTGAATTTTTCTTCATTCAAACAACACTTTTCCTCCTTTATTAAATTTAATGTTAAAGTGCTAACCTTACAGGTCAATACCTCTCTCCACCACATCGGAGCCTCGAACCACCGCAGTGTTACACCAGTTTAACCTCTCTTATCATCATTTAGTTTCAGAGAATAACATAAACCTTCTCCTCCCAAGTTAAAAATTTTCACCTCCTATCTTAACTACTAATCAAATAGACCCTTGATTTCAATATAGTTTCTTTTTTCCTTTTTCACTTGGACCAAATCTTCATCAAAAACACGCAAAGGGGGACATATTAGAAAAATTGCAAGGGTAAAAAGCAAAACTCAAAAGTAGATTTTGTAAGACTGTTTTTCACGTTTGGTCGGACAGTTCCTTCTTTGTTTTGCTTTGCTGTAATAATGGTTTTATGCCGATTCGTTTATTCTCCTTTCAGCTATATTTGTTTCCCGAAATACCCTCCTAAACACGTCAAATTCCCTTCTCTACCACTTTCTGCACTCTCGTGTTCTTCGTCATCAACAATGGAAGCTCCTCCTGAAGGCTATCGCAGAAACGTTGGAATCTGTCTCATCAATAGCCACAAAAAGGTTCAATATTTCTCTCTCCCTCGCCCTCTACAAAAGGTTAACATGAACAATTTTGACGGTTTCTTCTATGCAGATTTTCGCGGCTTCAAGGCTGGATATTCCCGATTCATGGCAAATGCCCCAGGTAGAAATAAATGGATGAAGTTCTGGATTTTTCTTCTTGCAATGTGTTATTTGTTGAAATGAATGACTGTAATGTGACATCATGTAGGGTGGTATTGATGAAGGTGAGGATCCGAGAAATGCTGCTATTAGGGAACTAAGAGAAGAAACTGGAGTTAGTTCAGCAGAAGTAATTGCAGAGGTACAAATTCTTAATTTAAATTTCTTGTTCTGTTACATCTATATATCATCATAGTTTGATCTATCAATGTCAATTAATCCATTCACTAGTACAACACTATGTAGCACCGACACCTCTGAAAAGAGATGAGTCAGTATCGTAGGTACAAAACCTAGATAAAGATTTTTCTTTTGGTGGCTTTTGTTGTAGGCACCTTTCTGGTTAACTTATGACTTCCCACCAACAGTCAGGGAGAGATTAAATATTCAGTGGGGAACTGATTGGAAGGGGCAGGCACAAAAATGGTAGTAATTTGAATATGCTCAGCCAAATTATATAATGTGAAAGGGTATTATTGTTATTGGAAAGGCATGAAATAATGGATACCCATATAGTTGTTTTTACAATCTGTGATATATGCAGGTTTCTTTTTAAGTTCACTGGACAAGATCAAGAAATCAATCTTTTGGGTGATGGTACTGAGAAGCCTGAGTTTGGGGAATGGTCATGGATATCAGCTGAACAAGTAATTGATCTTGTGAGTATATGTGATAATGGTTCATGACAACATTTTTAGTACCTGCATAAAATCAATTAAGAGTGGGTGTTGCATAGAACATAAAACACATGACTTGGCTTATCTTCTTTGTGCAGGCAGTGGATTTCAAGAAGCCTGTTTACAAGGAAGTACTTGCTGCATTTGCTCCACATCTTGAATAATCTCATATCTGTTGAAATGTTATGGCTTCCAAGTGAGAGTCGTCGTAGCTAATTCTGCGAGTTGCTTTAAAATAATGTACCAGTCACAGATAACTACTTAGACAGATATTCTCCTTTTCTCCTCTTGGCCACAGAGAAGAGGGATATTTACTGTATTTATATGGATCTGTCAATTTTTGTTTTCATGATGAAATATTATACATGATTATTACATATTAGAAAGTGTATGAGCAAATTCGTCATGACTTTAAATATAACTATTTCCCTCAAAATTTTCTAATTATAGTATCTTTTAACATGTATATTTTGGACACAAGTTAGCAAGACCTATAAAATAAAGATAGTGAAGCATTCACCTATACTCTTTTCTAATGAGTACACTATTTTTTTTAATCGGGTATTGTTTGATTTTACAAAGATTGGTTTTGAAGAAAGCTTTTGCTTGGGAACCTTGGAGTTAAGAAAGACATAACTAGCTAGAAAAGAGTGTGAATAAATAAATAAAAAGTACTTTAGTTTAAGAGTGGAAAATCTCAAATAGAGATTGAACAAACATTAACTGAGAGGATCCTGGTCTTGTGGCACAATGGTCATAACTCGGACCAAATCAATAAAAAATTCTTCAAATAGTCTATTACTAACTTTTGCCCTTGGGGCCAATCCTCACTGTCTGTTTTCTCTTCAAGTATGAATGACAGTTTTAAAGAAAATTTAGGAATAACATTGGGGCCAATCCAGCTAGAAAGAAAGCAATTTTAGAAAGAAAAAAATGTTCTCAAGCACGATAGTGTCCTTAAACATTTCTAAGTTCAACCATTCAAATCCCTTTTTTTTTTCTTTTCTGATTTTCAAACGTCACTGCATAAATTTCGGTGTCATTGATATCGCTTTGAAGAATCTAGAACAATATGCAGAGATACTTTAATTCAGTAATTTTTGTGTTTCTTTAGTAGCTCATATATTAAAGATTTTGCAAAATAATTTGATTTACACTATGCCTTATGGACATCATAGACTGAACTTCATTAGGAATCTTTAAATCACGTCACAATGCCATTATTCATTCTTGATCAACTTGTAACCTTTCATATATTCTACCAACAACATTCATGTATTATCATTCATCAACAATCTGCCATGAAGTTCCCTTGCACATACCAAGTATTTTTTTTCTTTCAGTCTTTAAGGACAGTATGTTTGCTATAATAACAAAATATCAGACAGAAACCTCAAATTAACCCTTAAAGTGACACCCACTTTAGTTTCTACTATACGAGATACGAAAACATGATTGTAGTTATTAGGAAATGGATTGCATACAGTCAAAATTTCCTGCAGCTGCAATCTTGACTGTACGTTGAAGATCAAATGGTTAATGATTTAAAGTTCTTGACTGTACGTTGAAGATCAAATGGTTAATGATTTAAAGTTAGTGTAAATCAGATTTCTGCAGAGCTACAGTCAAACTGGATCCCTACTTTGTATGAGCATGCATGCATCGGCAAACCAGTCCAATGCTTACTGAGAAATTATACATCTATCTATATCTATCTATGACTATTACAAGCACAAGAACAAGTACTTCAGGGCTACAACCTTTTACTGAGTAATGGCATAATGGATAGAAAACATGATTCAAAAACGCATCTTAATGTCCTCTACCAGAACAACTAGTCACTCAGTCAGAAAATTACCATATTCAACTAGGGAAAGATCAAAGAATTATACTTTTATTTCAATTTGATCAAAATAGTAAACAAAAATAATGTCATTTATCCGATCAAAATCCCCTTTAAATAGCCACATACTGTTCCAAAATGATTGATACAAGTTTATCCAAGACCGCATGCGTCTTTTCAATAAATATTCTCATAAATAAAAAGAATTAATTATTGAATAAAACACTTTCCAATGATGAAGTTGTTGTAGCTCAATGAATTTCTGGGAAGTCTACAGTATGTTCCCACTTACGAGCTCAATCTCTTTATGAGTGAATCATGAAACAGGTCTGGAATTGGAGCAAAATAGCAGCGAACAAAACAGAACCAGAAACTCTTTCGTTCTTACCTCCCTAATATGTTTTGTATGTGGTCTGCAACAATTTCTGCCACAATCTCAGGTGAGAACCGATGTATCATGTCATCCCTTGCCTTTCTACCTATGGCTTTAGCCTCAGCCGGATTATCCACCACCTGCCTCATAAGAAACCGGAGTTTATGTTCAGAAGGTTCAGCCCAAAGATGTCCCTTAAATGGACCTTCCATTACTTCACTCATTCTATCTACTGGCAATGGATAGCTGTTATCCTCTGTCAAAAATTCAGTCGGTCCCGACCAATTTGTAGCAATCACTGGCAACGCCATTGACATGGCTTCCACCAGAGGTCTTCCCCATCCTTCCCCTCTTGAAGGAAGAACGAAAGCATCCGCTGCCCTGTAAACCCTTGGCAAGTCACTTTGTGCAATGTGTGTATCAATAACATAGACTGAAGCCCAACCACAATCCGGTTCTTCAAAATCAAAATTCTCAACAAAATCCAATATTTTGTTCCCAAAATCACTGTCAGTATGATAAGGATTCGTCAACAAATATAAAGCAACACTATCGTCTTTCGAAAACTCCTTCAAATATGATTTTAACAACACATCCCACCCTTTCCTATACTCCCACTTGAAGATACTCAGAAACACAAAACCCTTACTCCCTCCAGAACCTAAAATCCGTTCCGCGGTAGAACGAAGATCCAACGGCTTGTACTTGACAGGATCAAAGAACTTCACATCAATAGGTTGAACAATCTTCACCACCTTAGAAGGAACAACCCCACTTTCAATAAATGTAGACTTATGAAACTCAGTAGGAACCCAAACATAATCCATTCTATTACATCGCTCGACATGTTCATCATTCACTCTATCCGTCTCAAACATAGTCCTACCAATCACAGACTTAAAATCACGGTAAAGAGATGGCGGACATAGCGATGTTTGAAACAACGGAGGATACCAAGCACCAGGCTCACTATGACAAATCACAATAGTTTCATTCATATTACACTTTGTCTGGTACAACTCAATTGCCAAACTCTTCATATCCTGTGGCAAACCCTCCCAAAAATCCAAAGATTCAAGATCACCATGGTGCTCAATTGCTAACTTAAAAGAACGCATTTTTATGTGACTATGAAGAGATAAAATGTAAGACCAACTTTCTGAGCTATACCCACCACCTGAAAGGAAAGGAGCCATCCATAGGACACAATGGGAGGGTGTAGAAACTGGCTTTGGGGTTGAAAAGAGTGAATGAAAAAAGGTTTGTGATTTGAGAGAGTATTTGAAGTAATGAAGTTTGTAGTAATTTGATTTTGTGAAACCTAATGCGATTGCTGTAAATAGAATCAATAAGGGGAGGGTTTGAAATGTGAATTTTTTGAATTTTGATATGAAGGGTTGGGTTGTTGGATTGGGGGGAAGATGGTGGGGGTTTGATTCAGCGGAATTCATGATATGAGTGTAGGGATCAAACTATTGGCAGAAAATTGTGGAAATGAAATGACACCATGTTGAAGAGAGAGAGAGAAACCTGATTGTCGTAATTCACAGGATCGATGCACACTGAATTTGTTTTAATTTTGTTTTTAACGCATCTAGGGAAATTCGAGAAGGGGGAAATTTGGAGAATCGTTTAGCAAATTAGGTTTATCTTTTAATTAATTAAATATAAAATTATATAATAATCTTTTAAATTTATTTTATTGTAATAGATTAGTTTTTTAAATTTTATTTTTCAATAAGTCAATCATTTAAGTTATTTAATGTTTGGAATATATTCTTTTTGAAAAATTTCATTTTAGAAATCACAAGTGAAATTAACATATGTTTGGTGGATGTAATATTGATGATATGGTATTGTTTTTTATTTATCAATAGATAATTATTCAAAAGCCATTTTTTTAAAAGAAAAAAGTCAGACTAAATTTTTAGTTTTGTTTTCATATTTTTATATTGAATTTGATATTATCGGCTGATCAGAACTTAAAGTATGTCAGATATTTTGTTAAAATCTGTGATGTTGGGTTTCAAAGATGAGTATAGGGTGTACCTGCAAGGCACTTCGATGCTAAAGTAAGAATCGGCAGAAGAGAATGCAAGTACAAAGAGAGTCTGTCTTGGGAGGATTTAGAATGACTTTGAATACCTTACCATCTCAAATGACAGGATTTTTATAATGCCCCCAACGTCTAGCCATTGGTTCCTATTTTCAAGGCGAGATATTCGCTCTCTAAGAATAGGTAACTGCCAGAAACTAGCTGTTGGGATGGACAGAGGTGCTCGAAACTAGTTGTTATCGCTGCCTTGACGAGGGTCTTAGGCATGACAGTGGTCTACACCGAGGAGGGGACTCTCCAAGAAGTGGAGCTGAAGAAGGCACAGGCCGCAAACGCGGTTCTAGAGGAAAAACTAAAGGTTGCGGAGGAGGCGGCGAATAAGTCCAGAGAGGAACTGGGAAAGGCCACCGAAGAGGCGACGAAGAAGTATAAGGGTGAGTTAGCCAAGGTCACCGAGGAGAGGGATACCCTGGTCACAGTGAAGAAAGTCGTGGAGGACTTGGTAAGTTCGTTGAGGATTGACGTTGCTCCTGCTGAGGATGAAAGTGATGAGGTAAAGAGTCTGAAGACTCGAGCTGAACTTGTTGCCCGTATCAGTCAGGCTGAGGAGGACTGCGTATGAGTCGCCGAGGATGCTTTCAATAATGCTTTGGCGTAAGTGAGGATTGTGAACCCCGAGGTTGAGCTGTCTACCAAGGGGGTTGGGTTCCTCCACAGTGTGGTAGGCAGCCAGATCATCGTCCTAGACTTCCTCAGATTCAACGAGGAGCATGAGTGACCTGTCTACGAGGAGCCTCAACCATGGCCGACTAATTTTCTCTTTGTTGTACTTTCGGCCTACGTGGTGTATCTTTGTAATTTTATCTTTTTGGATGAGGCTTGGCCCCTTTTA